AAGGGAGGAAGGGAGGAAGGGAGGAAAGGAGGGAGAAAGAGAGAAAGAGAGAAAGAGAGAGAGAAAGAGAGAGAGAAAGAAAGAGAGAAAGAAAGAGAGAAAGAAAGAGAGAAAGAAAGAGAGAAAGAGAGAAAAGGACATAAAGCACATAACAATGGGAGGCTCAATGGAAAAGCATTTTGATCTTTCCTATTTGGAAACCTACCACAGTTCCAAATCTTGCCTCAGGGTAACCTGAAAATTTTATTTTGGAGACTCTTTCCCAGAATATCATTACTCTGTTTGTAAAACCTTTGTACTGTTCGGCCCTGTTACTTTCCAGCTCCCTAACTCTCTGCATTAAGAAGACCAGAACAGGAACATTAGGCTGTGTCTGAGCTGCATTGCTAGAACTTGGCAGGGGAAACATGCATAATCTGTCTGAGCCATGCCTGTTTTTGTGAAACCATGTCTGCACTGGGACACTCGGGAGACTTGGAAGAAAGACCTCACATACAGCGTGATGTCAGTATGCATAGGCTGAAGCATATCAAGTCTTATTTAGCCATTCTCACATGGGAGTATGTTGACATTCATTTTCTGTAGTTCTTTGGGAATATACTGCAGTAAATAAAAAAAGGACCGTCCAGGTGGGATTTAATATGTTAAACTGACTTCACACCTCTCGTTGAATAGACTTAGCATTCATGAAATGTCCCTGAGTAAACACAACCTGGCTGTTCACTTCCACAAGCAACAAAGTTGCCTAAAAGGAATTGAAAGCATGCAGTCGGCTGACAACATTTCCAACAGAATCACTTTCAGGAATACAATTAATGTAAAAGCTATCATTGAGGTCATTTTTAAAATGCTATAAAAAATTTATAATAAAAATATATATTCTAGCACAGGAGCGTGAAAATGTCTTAAAAAGGAAGAAAACATGAATGCACGATTTTGACATTTTTATTTAACCCTGCTCTGTTTTGTATTGAAGGATTACCCCTCCACACTTTTGATCTCGTGCACACAAAGGATACTACAATACCTGAAAAAATAACAGGCTGCTCTAAGAATAGCAGACTAGATACTCATCTGGCATAACGTGAGACCGCTCCAATAATTTCAACATTCCTACTCCAATTTGCAACAGCAAAAGATCTGGCACAAAACATCAAGCTAAGTTTCCAATTACCTCATGCACCAGCATTGATTTCAATAGCTATATACATACAGTCATAGAGGAGAATTATTTGAAAAGTTGCAAACTCAGCTCTGTATTTCTTTTACTTTTGTGGGCTAAATCAGAGTCGCTGTGGTATGTTAATGTGTTAAGGTTTTTGTGGTTTCATTATATGTGTCAAGAGCAGAATACTTACTTGCTATATGTATCAGATTAAAAAAAAAAAAAAAAAAAAAACCAGCAGTAATTCTTTACACTGCTGAAAATGTCAACTTATATTAGGCTATGTCACAATAGTAGTAAATTTTAATGTTGCCCAAAAACCTAGTACGTATTAACTTAAATAAGTAAAAATTTATCACCTATAGGAGACTTAGTCTCCTGTAAGTGAACGTCTTGCAGGTTGCCTCAGGAGGTCTTTTTGCAGTTTGCTGCTCCAGATCAGTCAAACTGTACAGTTCAGGCACAATGGGAGGCAACCCCAGAGCAGAGACACAGTACTCACAGCCCAGACTGACTCTGGTCTTCAGAGCACTTCAATTACATACAATTAAACAATGCTACACATGTTACTCATTGTCCTGTACTTCTGTGGATAGCTGCTAAGGGAAAATCGCCCGTGATTTGTTTTACTCTAGGAGAGGGACACAGACACTTGCAAGAATCTAGGTCCACAAAACCTCAAAAAATCCAGCTTTTCAAATTCGTGGTAATGAATTGAAAACATAGTGTCTGGTATCTGAGCCCAGCAGCTTAAGAAAAGTGTATATAATCTTAGTGACATATGGGTCACAGAAAGTTCTGACGGTAATCACTTCTCGTGACAATCTTCCCTTATCATGAAGAAATTCTAAACAAATTGAGAATAAAATGCTTAAACGCTAGTATTCCTCAAAGAGTCATTAGCATTTGACATTTTGTTTGAAAATCTGATGCCCAGCATACAGGCAGCCCTGTGAGTGAGACTGCCCAGTGATGCATTCTGATAGAGGACAATCAATCAAAGTAATTTTGCTGTACAGCATTAAAACAAAAGGTGGGCCACCTATCTGCCACATTTCTCAGGCTCTGAGACAAGACGAAACCGCTTTAAAATATTTTTTCACCAGGGTCCTGTAATGCAGGCATCACAAAAGGAATCTTTCTGGCAGTACTGAGCCTACAATGTGGACTACGACTGTAAGTTTTATTGCCTTTTCAAATAGATTTTATTCTTGACTTGACAGATAAGCACCCTCTGTATCTGAGCTGTTGCACTGCAAAGTGCATCCAAGTTCCTTTAAGCGCTTCAGACTTCACGATGGATTTGGTAACAGTGCAACACGGAATGGTCCATGCAGGTGGACTCAGTCAAAAAATTATTTGATTTTAAAAAATCTGATTTCTGTACAGTAACATCTAAAACATCATTTAATATGTACAAGTAAAATGGAAAGCTTTTGATGTATATTGTAAGGTGCGGAGCTTTGACAGTTAAAATATCTACTGACTTTAAAAGAAAGAGAATTTATTTTTAATAACCATTTTTATTTACTTTTAAAAAGAGGAGCAGTTTATGCCTTCAGCAGAACTATGCCCTGAAATCTCAGGGGTGATTAAAGGGCCATGCCAAAGCTGAAAGGTTTCAAATATCAAACTATACCATTATGTCAGGGCCAGCAAGATCAATTAGCGCTTTTCAATGACAGAAAAGGTTAAGTTGGATGCAGATTTACAGAATATTTAAAGCTAAAAATGGAAAACATCACATATTAATTTAATGTCACATGTTAAAAGTGTATTTGTAAGCCTTATAACTGAGGTAGAACTATCGAAACTTTTCTTCCACTTGCACAACACAAAAACTGCTTTTGTCATGAAAAATGGCAAAGAGATTTATAATGTGTATCTATGTATGTTAGATGGTAATGTTCACATTGGGTTCTCAAATACAAAGCAATACTTCAGACAGTCAAAGCTTCAGCTACCAGACCTGATTTAGTGCTGAACTCTTATAAAGCTTTATAAAAAAGATGTGATAAACTGACAGATGTTTGTTTGCCTGAAGCCTCTCCGCTTGCATCCCTCTTGCCAATCCTGACAACACTAAAAATGAATGGCAGTGAATAAGTAAATCAATTCCTATATTCAACTGAAAGACAAATAAAAAACTACTAATAAGGGGGGGGGGGGGGAGCAAAACAGATGAGAAAAAAAATTAGTAATCTGTAAATTAATTCATCTCAAATCTGGGGAAAGAAGTAAGTGTACAGCTTCTGCAACTGAAAGCAACACTCGCACCAGGAAACACTGGAACTTACATTTCAGTTCCTGGCATCATACAGATACTCACAGGAAGCACGGCTATGCTTGAAGTTAATCCAATACCTGTTAATATAAGCATCTCTGCAATAAACATCACTTGAACAAAGTACCGTGCTATGATATCAAATAAAGTTGGTATAAATTTACCATAAGAGTGTAGTAATGAGGAAAAAAAAAAAAAAAAAAAAAAAAAAAGAAGCACACTGTTGAGAGCAGTGATTTGGATTATAGTTACATGATTCCATATAAAAGTGAAGCCAGATTACTTTTGTTCAATGATAGATTTCAAAATGTCTTTTTTTTTTTTAAAGCCCACTTTATTTATTTCATCAAGGAGTGATCTGAAATATTTACTACCAGACAGTACCTAATTTTAGGTTTTAAGTGCTTTAACAGCTCTATGAAATATGATCAGCAGCTGCAATATAGAAGTATGCTGAATAAACTCTCCTTGTAAAAATGGAGACCTGTTCTACCTCGAGTTCATAAAACGCTTACTTTCAAGAAAGAAAAAGATAACACATAAAAAGTTAATAGTTACATCCCACAGAGTTTGACGGAAACTCCAGGAATTTCTTTCTTCTTTCCGAATTAGCCTTCATATTTCATAGAGGAAGAAGCAGCTTGCATTTTAACACTTGTACTGAACATCATGCACCAACAGCAGCTCACCAAAGAGCCAGGTACTTTTCCCATACCAAATTCCAATGCTTAACATTGGTTGATTCTAGGACTAAGAAGTAGAACACAACATATGAAAGTCACAAAGTTTAAACAGTAGCTCTCAAAGCTTGCATCAGAGGCTAAAAATATGCAACAGGATACTATCTATAGCCGTATTTCTAGTTGTCCCTTTTGAAACATTTTAACTGGGAACTGCAATTAACTGCGAACCCACCAGTTTCTTACCTATGAAATTCCTTGTTTAGAATTCATCTAATGCATTGGCATTATCCATGAGGCAGAATAGATTTCTATTGCACAGGGTTGCAAAGCCATTAACACACACAAATCCTGAAAGGAGTAACCTTCCACTACATTTTTTAGGATCGCGACCACATGCATGTAACTACTTATAACTGCATATGCAGTACCTGAACAAGAGCACATGAAAGGTTGGTCAACACATTCCTCTCTTAGTTTTATTAAGTTAGTCTGAAGACCATTTTGTAACATAAATAGCAGAATTTTCAAAAGAAAACAGAGCAATCCGGTTCAGATGGAGACCAAATAATGCCAGACGTCAAAACAGAAAGGGAGAAGAGAGAGAAATGTCAGCCTGTGTCTCCACTTATTCACAGTACGATACATTTTGGAAGTATGCAAACATTTCTTATTCGGCAGCGTTCTGAGAAACACCAGCAGAAAAGAGTCAAAGCAGAGGCAATTTTAGGCAAACCCTTTTTGAGCGTTAAGTAAATAAAACAATGATATAACCACAGCTTTAACGCAAAGCGCTCTCTTCAAATAACAAATAAATACTGAGGTCAGACCCAACGTGATATTTACACCACGTACAAGAGAAGATGCTTACTTTGTACGCGCCCCTACACAGCTGATCAGTTTATCCCGGACGCACTTTCTGGTCTTCGCAATTCCTTTCTGCTGTCCCACACACTTAAACAAACCCTCAGGGCACAAAAATCCGGGTTCCTTACTGTTCTAGCACGATTTCACGCCGCAGTTTAGATCAGCCGAGGCGCTCCCGGGTCGGTACTGCGCCTCTCGTGTGGGTGCAGCCGCCGGGCATGTCACACCGCCCTGACACCGCCGTACCTCCAGGCGCTGCGCTCAGCCCGGCCCCGGGATAACGGGAGGGCAGCAGCCGCGCACCTCCCTGGCTCTCAACAGCCGTTTCGCGAACGCAGATGAAACTTTAGATGCCAAAGGCTGATTGGCAGCGGCGTTGCCGAGGGACCTTCTAGCTTTTCGGGGCAAATCGCCACGGGCACAACCCGGGGTGAGTGCGGGCTGCTCCCCGCCGCGGATCCTCCGCCCGCGGTGACAACCGGGTGGAGAACTGATGGTCCGCAGCCCGCTGGGTTTGAGCGCGGAGAATCCTGTTACCTTGGCGCGGATCAAGTGCACGCACGCACTCGGACTTTTCCCCACGTGGAACTGCTTTCAGACCAAAACATGGGGCCCCGTTAACAGAACCCCGTGACGGAACCCCGCGCCGGGCCGAAGAACACAGGGGGACGGGGAGCCCGAAAACTCCGTTTTGTCTGCCTGGAAGCCGCAAGAAAAACAAACTGGGAGATGGGGGAGGGAGGGATCCCTCGGGGGAGGAAACGGCAAGGAGAGAAACCAAGAGACAGCCGCTGCCCGGCTCCCCTCCGACACCAGGGCCACGGGCCGGAGAGCTGCGGCTCGCCCCACCGGGCTGCGCTCGCCTCGGGACTCGACTTTCCCGGCGGCGGCGGACGGTTCTGCCGAGGGCTGCGTCCCGCCCGGCAGAGCCCCTCGGCCCCGGGGCCGGCAGCCCTCCCTAGCGCTGCCGGGTGCCCCCTCGCCCCCGCTTTCCGCCGCGACGGGGGCGGGCAGGAGGCGCACGCCGGGAACAATGCGGGGCAGCCGGCGCCCGGCCCCATCTTGGCCCGGCCGAAGCAGTCGGTCGAAGAGGGGCGAGGGCAGAGCGGGACGGGCTGTCAGCTGGGCAGAGGCACACAGCTCTGCAAAAAGCCCCGGGAGCGATTTTTTTTTTTAACTAAACTCGCGTGGTGCCGTGGTGAACACTCGACTCTGCCCCGTGCGGAAGGCTCTGCCGGTCCTTCCCATCAAGCTTGGTTCATAGCAATATATTTTTTTGTCATCGGACTAACAAGAAAACAACGCTAAATAGCCCTACACATCCGCACGGCCACACGCACAGGCGGCGGGGAACCGTTTTCCTCTACCTCTGCGAGAGGCGCGGGAGGGAAGAGAGACACTCACCTCGCCGCCGGGATACGCCGCTACCTTGATTTTATGGCCGCTCCTTATTTATTTATTCTCGTCCCTTCTCCGAGCCGAGTTTCCCTTTTTGCACCGTTCCTCTGGCAAAATCGGGACATCCCCTCTACAAGTTCCCCCCCCCCCCAAACCCCCTTTCTCCCCACACACAAATAAAGTGCTACTCAGAGCAGCCAGGGAGGGGAGACTCGAGGCGGGGGGGCAGACGGAGGAGGAGGAGGAGAAGGAGGCTGGTACGGGGGAAGCCAAACACCCTTCGCACTTCAGCGAGCGCACTAGTCGCCTCTCACACAGAAAGTTTCCCTGGCGAGGAACGGGGCTAAGGAAAGGTAACCCCCTCCCTCCCGAAAAGGTCGCTGCCCGGAGCGGGGAAGTGCGGGGCGAGCAGTGGGAAGGCAGCGCGGCCCCAGGGCTGCTCTGCACGTCTGCGCTGCCCCAGCACTGCCCTACAGCCTCTCCAGCTCTCTGCTCGCCCCGCTGCCCCCGGCCAGACCTGCACCTTTACTGTGCATGGGCAGCTGCTGGAGCGGCGGTGAGAGCATAGGAGGAAAGGGTCGGAAGGCACGGGAAGGTTCAGCCCTCAGCACTGACCCTTGTGGGCACTACAGGTCCCATACGGTCCCATTTGTTTGTTCTAGAATGAACCCCCACTGTAAAGCAGTTCTGACTTTAGGGGAAGGTCAGTTGTTTATGGGACCGATCAAGCTCTATACAGACGAGGACCTGATTTTGTACCCTTTTAGCAGTTGCATTTGTTTCCTTCCTCCCAAGCTCATCAGTGAGGATGGAGAGAAAGTCCTGTCTAAAACTAAGCGCTTTTGTGCTTGTCTCTCTTTGCTACCTCCTGTGGGTAAGGGGAGGAAGAACCCTAATTACCAAGTCACTTTTCACACTCTTACCATTAACCATGTATCACCTCTTCTGGATTTCACTGGGTAGATAGGCTGGCTCTTCTTCAATCAGTTGCATCACCCTCTGTCTGTCACATAATTCAGTTCTTCCAAGGGCTTAAGTCAAAAATTCAGAAGCAGAGTGAAAAGTTAGGCCCTACAGCTGGAGAGAACACCAGCTGTGTTCAGAGAAGTGTCTTGATCTTTGGAAGTGCTGAATGTCACAAGCTTTTGAGGTCAGTAAATCACGTGAAAAGAGGGAAAAATCACAGATCCCTGAAGATTCTTTCCTTCCTATCTTCCATTTGCTCAATTTTGCATCCTGCATAACTGAAGCTGTCTGCCTTTGAATTTCATAATTTACATTCAGTGAATTGTACTAGCAGGGCCATCTTTCTACTAAATAATTTCAGACTTAAGATGACTAAATCCTCATGAAAACAAGTCTATAAAAACCCTGTATTTGCTGTCTTGGGAGAGTCGCCACTTAGAAAGAGAACAGACGTGGAAAACTCTTTGACCTACACAAATACAGCTAGAAAAACATTTAAACTCAAAAAGCCCCCAAAAGCCAACCTTCAAATTGACATAGTGTAGGACAAGCCAGAAAAATGAAGTGAGGTTTGAAATTGAAAGCTTAGAGAGCAACTGGCAAGTCAGATTTGCAGAAAGTAATTGCAATCGACAGAGCCACCGGCTGTGGCTCCTGCCAGCACCCATCTTGCTAATAGACTCCTTCTGCAGGAGCATGTGCTAACAGCCTGCTCCTTTCAAGAGGACTTTTGTACGCAGCACAATCCTGAGATGAGGCTCTTGAACATGGCCATGAAGGTTTTCTGAAGTCTGGATTCCTTCCACCTTACTTCAATGAAGCAAATTCCAGTTCCAGAGAACAGACACCCAGTAACCTGGCTTGTTTTAATAGACATATCACTTTAAAGCAAACTTTTAACCATGTGTTGCATCCACTCTTAAAATATAAGGACAGCTGACTTAAAAAGATTATGTATGATTTTCATTCAGTGTAACAGGTTTCAGACTGGGGAGGGATGGGAGAACGGTACTGTTGGTCCATGGTACAAACCTAGTGCACATCTCCCAGGCAGGAGCCTGGCCTTGCTGTCTTTGAACCACTTTGTTGTTTTGCTGTTGATTTCAGAGAGAGGGGCAGGATCATGCTCAAAACTAACGGTCCTTTGGCAGGTGCACTGAAGAAAGTCCTGCACAGGACTCGTAACAGAACTCTAATTTTACAATTTTATAGTAAAATACTGCCAGGTAGTAATTAGATGATGATTTTGGTTATGTTGGCATTGTTGGGCTGAAGTAAGTTTCAGTGCTTAGTGGAAGTGATCTCAGTGGGCTGTAAGTCCAAAATCTAGTGTGATCCACTGGCTCTTATAACTGACTGTGTGACCATATAGAGCCCTGCACGGAGAAGGTCATGCTAGAAATAGTCCTAACGGTGCCCAAGGAAGGGCTGTAGGATCCACTTTTACACAAGAATAGAAGAATAATACCTTATCCATTTAAAGCAACATGTAGAGAATGTAAGTAGGCAGGATGTAATTATCTAGATTGGTATTTGGCCAGGCACTCCTACACTTGCAAAAAGTGCCATAGGGTTTAATGACCACAAGTGTTTGGTATCCTTGGTTATACCTCTTACATAAAGACAGCACTGTGATCATATATACTTTGTGCTGGTTCAGTACTGAGTCAGCAGAAGAATGTTGCACAAATACCCATTTGCATAGTATCTTAGAATTCCCTTAGAGGTCTTCCATGCAAATTCTAAAGGGCCTACCGTCCTTACCTGGTGAAATCTAATAAGTCATAAGTAGTATGGTTCCAGATTACTATGTCTGTGTATATTACTGCAAACAGAAGGCATTTTAGAATCTTTGTAAACAATTTGAAGTGAACCCAGTGTACTTTTCTGGTTTGCATCTCAGTAATAAAAGGGGAATTTTGTTTGATTGGTTGTCTTTATTATTTGAGCACAGGATTATACTTAGATATTCTAAGAAAACTGAGCGACTGTTACTATTTTGATAGAGGATCATTACTATGATTTACTGAAGTGCCTACCATGTGTCCCATCTTGCTGATCTACCTGTTCTGAATTTTGTTTTACAAAAGCAGGGCTTTGAATGAAATGCGGCTGCTTATTTTCAGGATCAAGTATGAGATCCACAAGTGCGTTAATTAGACTAAGTTTGTTGATCTGTATACTTAAGGTTATTATTTGGTGTTTCATGGCTTTATAATCATAAAAAGAAAGAATGAATAAAGGTTATTTTGCCATGGTTATCGGATTTCAAGTTTATAAAGAAAGTGACCCACCCTTTTCAGTAATTCAACATCCAGGGTTCAGCTGTGGGTTCAAAAGCAGGTTACAACTGGCTACTCATTGTCAGCCAAAGTGCCAACTGTGCCTTTAAGTATGTTATATAACCTATTTTTCGGTTTCAGTTTTCAAGTACGCCATCGTTTAAGTGTTATTTAGATTTCCGTATTTTTTTTTTAATCCAAACAAACCTGACCTCAATCATAAGGTTCCATGGCTCCAAATAGCAGAGCTTTTCTAATATTTTATTTTGAGTGCCTACGTTCAATACTTCATCACATAGATATGTGCTGTGGATAGTGCCAAACACAGTGCCAGGGGTGGCCTCAGTTATCTCCAGTGCTTACCAGGAGAGGGCTCTGCTCTGCATCCCGTGCACAGACACAGGTCCCACTGAAGTTTCTGCATGCTCTGTCTTTAACGTTTACTTGAAATTAAGCTGGATAGGTGCGAAATTTTTCATGTGGCTGTGTGCGTAGAATAAAGTGTGCATAACAATTTCAGTTTCCATACTGCAATTATACCAGGATCTTTCTTTTCTTTCTGGGAGGGTCTCATTCTCTCCCTGCATCAAGACACCATTCCTTCACGTTTCATGGAAGTTTCACAGATGAAATGTATGCAGTTTACCCAGAAAAAAAAAAAAAAAAAAAAAAAAAGAGGCTGAGCTATCTCTTTTCATCACCTTCCATTTCCCTGTGGTACACCAAAACTACAGCTGCACTAATCAGAGCTAGTACACAATTTTGCTAGCTTGGTTCTTGGCATTGCTTCGCACTCAC